GTTGTTTGCCCAGAAAGAGAGTATGCAGCGGCGCGCGTAGTCGGACGGGAGAATTTTTCAAGCAAACAGAGTGTCGACGTAACGCGTCGCTGTTTAAACGGTGGGGCCTCCAACGTTTCTCGAAACGATTTTGTCGAAAGACGTCGTGTAACATCATGTTTTCGCGAAGATACGCCAGTTATCCTCCTGGCTCCCCTTTGACGCACGCCGATACGCTCTGTGCAGTGCAAATAGCTTTTGGCCAAGAAAGTATCTCGTGTTTAGATTATGATACGCCGCGGCGAATGCTTCACAGACCATGCACGCGATCGATCATCACGTAGAGTTGTTCCGTTAATTCGGTAACATGTCACGTTTCGTACGCTACCGACAAATGTTTTTTATATCTAGAGACATATTTCGCGCTGGATATCTCCGTTCCGAGTAGTACCCGCGGGAAATTCTATTCTCCTTGCGTATTGCACGATGGAGGAAATTTTTATGTACAACGGAAAAGTTGCAAATTGAAGAAAGTTTTGGGGGATTTAGTATCCCCGTATGTATGAAAATGAAATCAATTGATGTTAATTCTTACAGCGTTGACCTTTTCGTGATAGAATTACTTTTTCAGAGAACTTATGCTGATCTGTAATAGATGTTAATTAAGATTGATTTTTGTTGGAGCATGCAAATGGACGAATGTGTCCCACTGGTCACGAAAGGGTTAATTATTACAGATGCTTAAAAAATTGATAAATAATCCTGAACCTTTGACCTGTGATGTATGTACCTTTCTGGACCAATACCTTCTGCGCCAACATAATAAGTGTCCTAATCTCCGAGGCTGTCAGCGCAGTAGTGGTCTAACCCACAATTTTACGTGAATCGACAAAGCTTCAATTCTATACTGACCCAAAACCCCTTCCAAAAAAATCGTACACTTAACCCTTTGCACTCGGGGTGATTTTGCTATAGGAAAGGTTGCAAATCGGGTCTTCTTTGAAATTTTTTAAAACTAACGTAGAAATAAACTATGCGATTTTATTTAAATATTCGATGCACTCTCTATTTCACTATGGTGAACAAATTCACGGAGACCTATAGATCTGCTCTCTGCCTTGATTCATTATTTACCAAATGACAATTAATGTCGCTTCTCGGGTTAAAATCGTGCATTTAAAAAAATTTAACTTCTTTAATCTGAAAACAAACTTTCTAAGGTTAGGCCACTATTGCGCCGTTAGTGTATATCCCACAACGAACCTCGATAAAAAAAAAAGAAGAAAATTGTCCAATTCTCTCTCGATCCGTGATTGAAATAAATTCCATCTGCTCCGAAAGACCATTCCACCGCTTCAATACAACCTAAGAAAAAGGTGCATCTTTGGTTCCAGTGTCCTGTGACAGTGAGCTCGTCGCTGACGTCCTCTTCGGCCTCGCCAGTGTCCGGTACGATCCTGAGCGCAGGCGGTTCGTCGTTGGTCAGCGTAGCGGGCACCACCACGAATCATCCCCTGGGCGTAGCTGCCGGTCTGTCGAACGCGAGGATGGCGGTGACCAGCGCGGTGGTTAGGCCGCCAGGCAGTCCTACCACCTCGGTCAGCCCGTCTCAGGGTCATCCGCCGCCGACGACCGGCGGCCCGACGCCGACTGGAAGGTGTTGCGACACCGGAAGACCGCTATTCACCGATCCGCTCACCGGTCAAACCGTCTGCTCCTGTCAGTATGAGCTTTTGGGCGGTTATCAACGGCTTGGAGCGATACCGACGGCCGCGCTCTCCATGTACAGCGCGCCTTACGCGGCTGCGGCCGCCGCCGCCGCCTCCGAAGGCATGGCCGCGTACTTCCCGAGCCTGACGGCCGAACAGGCGCCCTTCTACACGCCCACGGTGAGTTACTTTATTTTTTCTTTTTTAATTTCATACGTTCGGGACGTGCTCTCGTTCGCCGACGCGATCCGTCGATGGGACATTCGAAATGATGGCGAAAAAGATCGAATGGAGAGTGTGACCCACGTTTTCAGATTATGCACTGAAAAATTAGGTATTGATGATAATACACTCTTTGGTAAAATTAAACGTCCTGAATTTCGTCCTGAACGTTAAGGGTTCGTATCTTTCACGAATGAAATTTCTATTTCTGTATCATTTTGGTGGTGCTACTGAAGAATTAGGCACCGATCGTTAACTCTTTAACAGTATGTCACAAGAAACGAAGTACGGTTTAGAATTGTAATTATTTTTTTTATATTCGAGGTTGGTAGCGATCCGTCTTTCGTTTAACCCTTCGACTGCTGCCTTATCTTTAACTTTCGCGTTTACATGCTATTTATTTTACAAATGTAAAATATCGAGCGAAGAGGTAACTTGAAAACACGTTTCGTTTGGTCGCCTTGAAGTGAACGGCAAACATTTCACCGACGATGTTTTCGTCAACGTCAACTTTGACCGGCACGTTGAAATCACCGACAATTGTTTCCTCGACGTTCAATTATTGAAATGTTTAATTAGCCATGCACATAACTTATACCGATTAATAAAAAGAACGGTATAAGCGTGACGTAATAACATTTTATTATTCACCTCTTTGCTCTACATACATACAGTAGTGCACACATAAGCGTCCGCAGTCGGGACCGGACGCTTAAGTGGGGAGGTGACTTCTGCGAATTTAACTAGACAAAAGAGAGACAAAGTCCCATTTCCAAGAATTGGCGGGGATAGCGACGGACGCTTAAGTGTGCAAAAATGCGGACGCTTATGCGTGCACTCCAGTATGTACGAGGAAATCGATGTGTGGATGAAAACACAGCGTCGACGATAGCGTATGTTGGTAA